ATACACCTGAAAATCGCCATCTGTATATATTATCATGAATAAAAACTAGCTATTCGTTGATAGAGTCCGTAGTTTAAATCCAAAAATTGAAAAATGCTTCCACCACTGTGACACCTCCCCCCCTCCCCTATAACTGCAGAAATAAACGCTACGCATGTTTAAGCATGGGCAAGTGGTCAACAACAACAAAAAAATACGCATTTGAGCACTGCTACCTGCATGGCGATGAGCTGAATATATCTTTCATGTGCTCATTGACGTCAGAATCTAAATAAATCTGTAAAAGTCTCGGATATAAATGTATTTAAGACAACGACCAAAAGCTCCCAATTAGGCCTTGTTATGGAAAGCTGCTGTTATCTTATGACATCGAGCAAAACGAAGATTTCCGCGTGTCTGCGACGAACAATTAGATATCTAGATAGTCGCTAACAATTGTGCATACGTACTTGAAGTTAACCAGGCAGTAGGAGATTATGGCATCGGCACTAGAAACGCCAGAGGAAAGCTGCTGTTATCTTATGACATCGAGCAAAACGAAGATTTCCGCGTGTCTGCGACGAACAATTAGATATCTAGATAGTCGCTAACAATTGTGCATACGTACTTGAAGTTAACCAGGCAGTAGGAGATTATGGCATCGGCACTAGAAACGCCAGAGGAGAGCTACTAGTAGAATTCGCAGAACACAGTAATTTGCGGATTTTGAATACTTTCTACCGAAAACGAGAAAACCGCAAGTGGGACATGGGAGAGCCCTAATGGCGAAAATAAGAACGAAATAGACTTTATAATGACTGCACACCCAGGATCATGCAGGATGTGGAAGTGGTTGGCAAGGTACGAGTGTAGTGACCTAGAATGGTACGGTCTCAAATTCGCCTAGACTTGAAGAAGGAACGACAGAAACTGATACGCAAGAAGCCAATCAATGATCTATCACTGAGAGGGAAAGTGCAGGAATTCAGATGTCCGCTGCAGAACAGGTACTCGGCTCTTAGTGAGGAAACCAACCTTAGCGTAGATACAATGAATGATAATCTGACGAGTATCATTACGGAATGTGCAGTGGAAGTTGGAGGGCAGGGTAGTTAGACAGGGACACCGGCAAGCTTTCCCAGGAAACGAAGAACCTAATTAAGAAGCGTCAAAGCATGAAGTGTCAAGTACAACAGACAAAATAGAACTGGCAGAGCTTTCGAAGTTGATTATAGGCGTAAGTATGCGATGTAGAAGGTATAACATGGAGAGAATTGAACACGCTCTGAAAAACGGAGGAAGCGTCAAAGCAGTGAAGAGGGAAAATTGGGATAGGCAAAAGTCGGATGTATGCACTGAGGGACAAAGAAGGCACAATAACTACCATATGGATAGGATAGTTAAAATAGCGGAGGAGTTTACAGAGATCTGTACAGTAGCCGAGACAACCACGACCTTAATACTATAAGAACTAGCAGTAACCCAGATGACACCCCACCAGTAATGATAGAAGTCAGAAAAGCTTTGGAGAGCATGCAAAGAGGCAAAGCTGCTGGTGAGGATCAGTTAACATCAGATCTGCTGAAAGATGGAGGACAGATTGTGTTAGAAAAACTAGCCACCCTGTTTACGAGGTGTCTCCTGACGGGAAGGGTACCAGAGTCTTGGAAGAACGCTAACATCATCTTAATACATAAGAAAGGAGATGACAAGGACTTGAAGAATTACAGGCCGATCAGCTTGCTCTCTGTATAGTATACAAGCTATTTACAAAGGTAATTGCTAACAGAGTAAAGAAACATTAGAATTCAATCAACCAAGGAACAAGCAGGATTTCGAACAGGCTACTCAACAATTGACCACATTCATACTATCAATCAGGTAATAGAGAAATGCTCAGAGTATAACCAACCACTATACATAGCCTTCATAGATTACGAGAAGGCGTTTGATTCAGTAGAAATATCAGCCGTCATGCAGACACTGCGGAATCAGGGCGTAGATGAAGTATATATAAACATTCTGGAAGAAATCTACAGGGGATCAACTGCTACCATAGTGCTTCATAAAGAAGCAACAGAATACCAATCAAGAAGGGTGAAAGGCAGGGGGACACAATCTCCCCAATGCTATTTACCGCGTGCTTACAGGAGGTTTTCAGAAGCCTAGAATGGGAACAGTTAGGGATAAGAGTTAATGGAGAATACCTTAGTAACTTGCGCTTCGCCGATGACATTGCATTGCTGAGTAACTCAGGGGACGAATTGCAACTCATTATTACGGAGTTAGACAATGAGAGCAGAAAGGTGGGTCTTAAATTTAATCTGCAGAAAACGAAAGTAATGTACAACAACCTCGGAAAGGAGCAGCGCTTCGAGATAGGTAATGGTGCACTTGAAGTTGTAAAAGACTATGTCTACTCAGGGCAGGTAATAACCGCAGAGCCTAACCACGAGATTGAAGTAACTATAAGAATAAGAATGGGGTGGAGTACATTCGGCAAGCACTCTCAAATTATGAC